AGTCGAAAATGGCAACAGATAAGGTGCATATCCGACACTGCATTCTTTACGAATTCCAACAAGGAAGAAACGCTGTAAGAGCGTGCGAATCGATTTATTCCTTTCTCAGCGAAGGTGTTGTATCGTACAATGTGTGCGCATTTTGGTTTAAGCGGTTTAAAAGTGGTAATTTCAGTTTAATCGACAAACAACATCCTGGAGGCCCTCCGAAGTGCGATAATGATGATTTGGAACAACTGCTCGCTGAAAATTCAGCACAAACACAAAAAGAGCTTGCAGAACAGTTGGAAATAACGCAGCAAACGATTTCCAAACGTCTACATGAGATGGGAAAGATCCAGAAAGAAAGAAAATGGGTTCTGCATGAACTCATTGAAACCAATAAAATCAACGAGTGGCAGCGTGTCTTTCTCTTTTCAATAAGCAGCGTCGAAAGTCTTTCTTGTAGAAAATCGTTACGGGTGATGAGAAATGGTTACTCTATGATAATCCGAAACGCAGAAAGTCATGGGTAAATCCCGGCGAATCATCAAAATCGGTCGCAAAACCTAATCGCTTCGGAAAGAAGGTTCTTCTCTGCATTTGGTGGGATATCAAGGGCGTGCTTTATTATGAGTTGTTGGAACCGGGTAAAACAGTTACTGCGGACTGCTACCAACGTCAATTAATCTGCTTGAGTCAAGAATTGGAACGAAAACGCTTGTATACTGGCAAAGGAGAACGTCTAGTGAAATTGTTGCATGACAACGCCAGGCCACACATTGCTTCCAATACAAAAGACACCATAATGAGTCTTGGCTGGGACGTTTTGGAGCACTCGTCGTATTCACCAGACATTGCTCCATCCGATTATCACTTGTTCCGGTCTATGCAACACACCTTGTCCGATATGCACTTTCAATCAGTGGATAAGATCCGAAAATGGCTTGGCGACTTTATCGTGTCCAAAGACGTAACATTTTCCGAGATGGAATTCATTAGCTGCCTGAAAGATGGCTTAAAGTTATAGAAAGCAACAGCGAATACTTAATTTGATTGAACAATTTAATTTACTTTCTTTTAAAATAAACCTTGAATGTACCTGAAAAATTTGGATTATTCATTTGTACACCTAATATATTATAACGTGTCTTTTTTTCATTTTTAGTTGTGTAGTAAATTATAGTGTTTAAGTGATTTATAGTATTTAATTATTATTAGTGATTAATAGTGATTGCATTATATATATATATATATGTATATTAAGCATGTAATGCGAGAAAGAACAGGCCTTATATATACGAGGGCAGTCCGATAAGTACTTAGCCTCACCGCCCGATGGCGCCACTATCGCAAGAGAAATTTACTATCGTGTAGTACATTCTCGTAGACGGCTACTGTCGAAATTTCAGCCGAATCGGACTCATAGTTTTGTTTTAACCGCGTGTGGAAGCGGGCGTGTCCGCGGATTTTAGAAAAATGGAAAAAGAGCAATATCGGTCGGTGATTCGATTCTTATTTTTGGAAGGGAAATCGCGCAGCGAAATCAAAGAGCGCTTGGATGCTGTGTACGGTGACTCTTCTCCTTCGATGACGACTGTCAAAAATTGGTTTAACGAGTTTCAACGTGGTCGCACGTCGGTTTTTGATGAGCCACGCCCAGGTGCCCCAAAAACGGCTACCACGGAGGATAACATGACAAAAATCCACGATCTCGTATTGGCAGACCGCCGATTGAAGGTACGCGAGATAGCTGAGACAGTAGGCATCTCAAAAGACCGCGTGGGTCATATCCTGCATGAAATTTTGGGCATGAGAAAGCTGTCGGCGCGATGGGTGCCGCGTTTGCTCACTCCGGACAACAAGCGCAACCGTGAGACCACTTCAGAGCAGTGTTTGACGCTGTTTAAGCGCAATCCGAAGGAGTTTCTGCGTCGTTTCGTGACCGTCGACGAAACATGGATCCACTGGTACACACCAGAGACCAAGGAACAGTCGAAACAGTGGACTTCACCCGGCGAACGTGCTCCGAAGAAGGCGAAGACTGTCCTATCGGCCGGAAAGGTGATGGCCACCGTTTTCTGGGATTCACAAGGTGTGATCTACATCGACTACCTGGAGAAGGGCAAAACGGTCACAGGGCTGTACTATGCCGAATTATTGGGCCGATTCGACGCCGAATTGCAAAAAACGGCCCCATTTGGCGAAGAAAAAAGTGCTCTTCCACCATGACAACGCACCGGCTCATACCTCCGCCCTCGCCACGGTCAAATTGGTCGAATTGGGCTACGAACTGCTGCCCCATCCACCGTATTCTCCAGATTTGGCCCCGTGCGACTTCTTTTTGTTTCCAAACTTTAAAAAGTCACTCGCCGGGCAGAAATTTGAGTCGAATGAGGAGGTCATCGCCGCCACGGAGGCCTACTTTGCAGACCTCGAGAAAACGTATTTTTCAGACGGGTTAAAGAAGTTGGAGCATCGCTGGGTCAAGTGTATCGAGCTAAAAGGAGACTATGTTGAGAAATAAATCGCCACTTTTCCAAAATTTTCGTTTTTCTTTTGTAAGCTAAGTACTTATCGGACCACCCTCGTAGGTGCGCTTGTTAGCGCTCGTACGCAGAACGCAAGAACAGAGCACTATTACCTAAAGACGCAATGACAACCAATAAGAGTGCTCGTTTCCGAGCAGTATGTAGCTATTGGTTCTTTTCATATCGCGTAATGTGGATGCGGTAAGAGTACGAGACGCGCGTCGTCCAGCGATGTTCAAATGTCCGTTGACGATTTTTGCGAAGTGGAGTGCTCTGATATATTGTCAAAGTATGTATAGTAAGTTTATTTATTATATTAATTTACATTTCATTCTTATAATTTTGTTACATTCTTATAATTTTGCTTATTTATTATTCATTGCTTGCTCTTAACAACGGATAATTTTAATAAATATACATGTTCGTATCTTTATAGATGAGCGACAAGAGAAGGGAAAATTTTTCTGCTGAAGAAAAGAAAACAATAATTGATTTAAATTATTATTATTATTTAAATTATTATTATTATTTCTTTAAATGTGACAGGAGCTGTTAGTGCGCTTATACATGGCCTTGACCACTTTTATCGCGCGCTGCTAAGATATCGATATGCTAGCGCGCTGTTACGACTTATTCGTGGTTCTGAATAGGGATTTTGTTCTAAACACGTGTGATTATCGATATGTCCTAATAAAATGCTGCTATCATCGCGTTGAGAATATGCGCGCTAATAAGAGCGCTAACATCTCGATTTGTTAGCGCGCTAATATCTTTGTTAGCGCGTTCTGAATATGGGCCATAGTCTATATTGCAATCAATAACTGATCTTCTACAGAAATTGTTTTTCGCCCAAATCTTTCTGATTGTCTTTCTAATTGTGTTTTAATAATGTTTAATAAAAAATTAAAAACTGTACGTAAGATCTTGCAATTAAAAGATAACTGTTTTCAAGAAAATCTTTTCTTTTCGAATTATAATTTTATAGCAGTCTAATGTAAAAGCAACATTATATTATATTAGAATTCACGTTACCTAAAATGATTTTTGAATTCTGTGTTAGAATATTCTTGAACAGTATCAAAGTAATTTTTTATGCATGGTCGAATACATCGCGCAGAAGGATATATTAACTGTAACAATGTATCTTCGTCAGAAGTATCACTGCTTTCGCATAATGTTTATACAATTGTAAAACATGTTAACATTTTCGCATTTTTATTCATCTTCAATTATATTCATCTTTGTTCTTTTATATATATACAACGAACGGTTTGGCACGAAAGGTTTATTGCAGTTTACAGTACACTGAAAGTTGTTCCGAAATACGACATCACAATTTTACTGGCAGTACTAAATCAATTTCGGAACGACTCTGGCAGTGTACTGTTATGACGTCATTTCGACAGCACTGCCAGTAAAAAAGGAACACGGCCTATAAAATTATGTAGTACCACCACTGAACCAATGCAGTTCAAGTGCAGCACTAGTTCAACTAAAAAGAATAAACCCTATGGCTGCGTTCCAAAATTCACTGCCAGTACTGAAAATATATAGTTTGTGTCACGTATATAATAGATTTTCAGTACTAGCAGTGAATATCGTAACGCATCCATTATAATGATAAATAATGGGTGCATTCAGTACTATAACCGCTCACTGAACGCTAAGTAAGCTCTTGCATCTTATTGATGTATATTTTTAAATCTAAAAGAATATACCAATCAAATGTAAAAGCTCATTGAGCGCTCAGTGAGCTCTTTCATTTGATTGGTGTATATTTTTAAATCTAAAAGAATATATCAACCAAATGTAAAAGCTCATTGAGCGCTCAGTGAGCGGTTGTAGTACTAAATGCACCAAATGCACCCTATGGCTGTGTTCCGATATTTACTGCCAGTAATGAAAATCTATAGTATGCGTAAAGCTAAGACTCCATGCATGCGGTGAGCTCCGGCAAACGGCTGCGGTGACCAATCAGGAGACAGACGCATGCCGGAGCTTGCCGCAACCGGACTTGCGCCTCCCTCCTGATTGGTCACCGCAGCATTTGCCGCAGCTCACCGCATACATGGAGTCTTAGCTTAACACAAACTATTGGTCTGTTCTTTATAGCTGCACTGTTGAACTGGTGCAATAAGTTAAAGTGAGATAAATATAGGTTTTCTCATTCTAGCTTATTGCACCAGTTCAGCAGTGCAGTTACAAAGAACAGACCATTGATCTGTTCTTTTTAGCTGCACTACTGAACTGGTGCAATAAGTTAAAGTGAGAAAAAATATAGTTGTCTCATCCTAACTTATCGCACTAGTTCCGCAGTGCAGCTGAAAAGAACAGACCTGGGCTGCGTTCCGATATTCACTGCTAGTATTGAAAATATATACTTTATGTCACATATATTATAGATTTTCAGTACTGGCAGTGAATATCGGAACGCAGCCCACATATGTATTTTCAGTACTGGCAGTGAATTTCGGAACGCAGTCTTTTTATCTAACGAATCGTCGTCTACGTTGAATATCGAGCTTTGTGGAAACTTCAAGGTGTAACTGCGTTTCCTCATTTTTGTGCGCAAACGTGTTCTGTTTCCCGATCGGAAAACAAAACGGTCTACTCTTGATCCTTGATTTCTTCAGCTAAATCAATTAACGAGTACGATTGGCGATTGATGTATAAAGAACAGGAACCACTTTTGGTAAGTTTTAATCATGACGAACATGTCATTTTTCGTCGTATAATGTTGCTATATGCTTTTGTATTCATCTTTTGATTGTGGAATTTTTATTTTTATATATTACAATTTATGCTATACTAACTCTCGAAAAAAGGTGACATTTTGTTTAGATATATCCAAAGCATACACGTCTCATATGACTAATGTACTAACAACTACATATGAGGCTATTCAAATTTATTTTAATGTTTAGTTAGCAAAATGTTGTTAAATGTTTATTTGAATTGAAGCTTATGAGAGACACAAATATGTTATTTTCAATTAATCAATAAATATAACATATTTATAAGTTGCATCAAACTACCTAATAGGTATTAAAACAATAGTAATTAAGATCTTTATTTGTCAGTCAGTTTATCATTGATTCTAGTATCGTGAATAGAATAGTCAAGTTGCTGAAGAAATTTATTATATTATAATATTTTATAGAATTGTATGGAATATAATTAAATCATAATAGCATGAAGCGAAGTGATCTTGTCTTTTATCTGGATCTGTAGATTATGAAAACTATATTTATCACTTTATATTATAAATTTAAATTTTATTTTATTCCTGAGTAACATACAACTAAACTTATTCTAACATACAATATAACATCAATAATATCAAGTTACATATTTCTTTTATATTTTATGATTACGTAAAATAATATGTTTTGTTTGATAACATATATGATTGCTTATTAATTTAAATTAATAGAATGATCAGTATTTTCATTGACAATAATACTTAAAACAGCATCTGAAATATCATAATAATTAAGTTTTTACTAATATATATATGTATATACATTTATATAATTTGCTCTTTTGAATTTTAAAATATATAAAAATGAAAATCTTTCTCCCTTAGCTGACATATAGTTTTCTTTTACTTTAATATAAAATTAAACAATAGCAGAAATGATATATTTTGGAATTTGATTTCCGATTCTTGATATATAAATTTAAAATATGTTTTTTCACAACAAGGATAAATAATGTTGAGGTGTTACAATGTTGAGTTAGGTTAGGTTTTATATCAGGATATTAAAACATGTGTATTTAAGTATATATTGGGAAATATTAAGAAATAAACCCAGATAGCACACGGATGTCCATTGGATGTCCGTTATATGTCCATTTTTTACAAAAGACGTCCATAGGACGTACGTTTGTCACAACTTCGGACATAGGACGTACGTTTGTCACAACTTCGGACATAGGACGTTCGATATACATCCATTGGACATCCTACAGGTCCGATGTCTAATAAGGACATCCTTGTTACATCCAATTTATGTCCACGGACGTAAGTCAGACATATGGACATAAATTGGACATCAAACGTACATCCATTGGATATTCGGTACTGTCTGAGAAGCTGATTGATAATGTTTTCTTTATAATCTGTGCATTTATCAAATACTATTTAAATCAACATTTTATAAGAAATAATTTTATATATTTATACATATATAATTATATATGTATATGTTTGTGTGTATATGTACACACACATATATATAAGCATATATAACTGGGAATAGAATTCTCTTAATATAAAAATCATGTATTAATATAGCAAATTGCTAGTAAATATTATGTTTATAACTGTTTTTGTTGTAAACAATATAATATATTCTTTATATAGTAATACTGAAGAAATAATATATGTATAATTGTGCAATACCTATCTGAGTATTCATCGTGCTTTGTAATATATGATCCACTGAGATCTAAATTATATAAAGGAAAAAAAAGAAAGTTATGCAAACAAGAATATATTTTTGTGATGAACACTAAAAATCTTCTTTCAATATGTTGTATAGCCAAATATGTAAAAATGATGTCATAAGGACGCCCACTAGAATTTCCTTTCATTTGTCCTGCTTATATACATATGTTATATCCCCTTTCAAACAGATAAAAATCATTTTGAATAAACCTATATATTCTTTGTAAGTTTGATGGTTGATTAATAAAATTTGCCTAACTAAGAAGTGTTTAATGATAGTTTTTCTTTTTTCTTTCTATTAAATTCTGTTAAAATTTAAAATTTGAATAATTTTTATTTACATTTTGACAATAAAGATAATAATTAAATGCAGATATGGCAAAATATAGAAAAAGTATGCACTGAATTCATATTCTAATGTTACGTAGTTGGAAAACAAATTGGAGTGAACACGCATCACGTCAGAAGGCACCTACGCCGTGAGTCGTATTTCGCGCGCAATAAAGCTTTACCTGAGAGCATTCGCGTAGGTAGTGTATGCAGACCAAAATCAAATCCAAAAGTAGTATGAGTCACGCGTAGCTTCGCACTATTCGTAGGTAAAAGCATGTACATATACGTTTATTAGTTCATGTTTCACCGATTCCCGCTCTAACAAAGTTTGTATATAATTTTCCTGTATTTGACACGGATTTAATTATCGAATACAAGAATAATATTGGCAATTAGCCAAAGCAATATCGAATTTTACATTAGTCAAATACTTAGAAGAAAATGTGTGATGGTACGTCGATTATATTGAGATTGCTATTCGCAAACTGTTGGCGTGTTTATTTCGCTTCACTTAATTTTGCTAATCAATCAATTAGTCAATAACAACCGATATATCGATACATAAAATGCTAAACAGCTGTAGCTACGATAGCAGCCGCAGCGCTACATACCGTAATGACCTCCACCTCTGATGTCTCCAACTATTTTCGATAGTCGACTTGGCTAACTTTAGCAATTTCGTTAGTGACCGGTTTGCGAGTTTAAGTTTAATTTTCCATCAAAATTTCATCATCACGCGTCGCTCAATAATTTAATCGTTATAGTATTTATCGTTATTTAAAATATCGGTACGGTGCTGTGATGATCATACACATTTTATGTTATGTGTACTCTTACATTGTGATCGATTTTAATCGTTAAAGTTATATATGTGCAATTGATCAATACAAAGACGTGTTAAAATATCGTCGAAATATTGGACAATATTTCGCTGTAATATTATGATCATAATCGTTGCAAACATGCGAATACTTGAACAAAAATATGGCGACGATTAACAATATCAACGTTAGTTTTTCGATCATATGTTTCTTTGTAATGTTACAATATGTAAATCGATTCATTCATTCATTAATTGTTACTTCATATCAGTTAATAAAGATATTTATTGAAGAATGTCCGACAGGTGGTTGTCTAAACTTTGATTTACAATCAAACATACTAAAGGATGGTCGACTACTACAAAGTACTCGAAGTGCAACGGACTGCTACTAGTGGTGACATCAAAAAGGCGTAAGTTTAATCTGTTAACTTAGATTGTTTGGGCTTAAAATAAATCTTATGAAATAATAATTAAATATGTGGAATAATGACTCAATATAAACTATCACCTTATCTAGCGATCCAGTTTAATATTATACAATAATAGAAATACTGCGAAATGCTAATAATTCTGATATATTCGTTTTTTAGATACAGAAAATTGGCCTTGAAATGGCATCCGGACAAGAATCCAGATAATTTAGAAGAAGCGAATAAGAAATTCAAGGAAATTTCTGAAGCTTATGAAGTATTGAGTGACGGTGAGTGTTCTGATTTATCAATAATTTGTTGATTAGTCATTTATTGACAATAAGATAATAGGTCTGTTTGTTTTTGAAGAACTTCTGCTCTAGTACGATAAGTTAGAATGAAACAGATGTACTTTTTTTTCATTCTAACTTATTACACTAATATACACTAGTTCAAATGTTTTCTGAAAACGAAAACAGACCTAATAATTTTTTCTGAATGTACAAATAAAGATATTATATGGTTCTCTTATAATAGAAAATGTCATATCACTAAAAAATGTTTCTTTGTTAATAAAGATAAAACGCACGATAAAAACGCACGTGATCCTGCAATGTATCAATATTTAATGTCGTTAAATTTTGTAAAACCATTCGAGTTTTAAAATTAACAACTAGGGCTAAACAGCTGCTTTTTTTTAGCAAAAACATCAACTAATAACTTCCTTCCGTGAATACGAATTACAAATTATAGTTTTTAAAAGCGAATACGAGTACGAGCGAGAAATATTTGTGAGTGTAAAAACTTATATAAAAAGAAGATCGGGGCGATATAAAAAATCTTTTCAGATATGAAGAGACGTACTTATGATCAACACTTATATCAGAAGGCGGCATCAAGGCCTGGCCGTGGGTTCACCTTCCGGAGTTTCTTTGATTCTCCTTTTCAACGATATTTTGGTACCATTTGAAAAAAAAAAAGATTTGCAGAGTGATCAGAGCATTGTGTATTGTAGTTTTCTTTAATTTTTTTATTTGCTTTAATATTATGCTACAAAGTATTCTCTCTCGCGTCTCATCAAAAGAATTCAAATGCGATCTGAATTCAAAATATTCAATGTGGTGAAGATATTAGCACAAGCAATTAGAATATTGAAAATTAAAAAATTGCGCGAGTATGTTTTGTGATTTGATTTGTAAATATCTTATGATATTGATAAGTCACAAAATATGATATGATTTGTAAATATCTTTTATAAGATTTTTATTGACGAAGATGATTGGAATATGATATAGATATCGAGATGTAATACTCCCAATATCGCTTTAATATTTTCATCTTTTTAAAAATTACAATGCAAAGATTTGACATGTTTTCCCATCTAATGTCATGCCGAATAATCACGCGTTGTAGTTAACCTTGCCTTGCGTTATTGTCAGTGTATTAACAGCTAGCAATTTATAATTATGTTGAAAGTTATTCTCAACAAGATATGAAATTCAATTATTATATCATAAACAATGTGTGTTAGGGTCCGTGGTATATAATGAATCCATTAGTGAGATATCATGGCTCTCTCTATAAAGATTTTTCCTAATATTCTATATTACATCAGGCACTATGCACGCGCGTGTGTGTGCACACACACACACACACACACACATATTGTATGTGTGTATGTATGTGTATACATATATATCGGACTAACCTTTGGCAAGTTTTGCAGAACTTGCTTATTGGATTTTTATTAAAATCAGCAGGAGTGAAATAGTAAGCTTGAATTAAAAACTTGAGAAAGTAATATTTTCATTTGGGAATTTTCAGAAAAAAAGAGACGAGTTTATGATCAATATGGCAAAGACGGTCTTCAAATGCCTGGAGGTAAACGGCGCCATGGAGATGATTTTGATCCGCACTTTGCTGGCACGTTCGTCTTTAGAGATCCTGAAGAAGTATTTAGAGAATTCTTTGATGGTATGCCATTCGAAGATTTGTTTTCCGGTAAGATTGTCATATCTTATGTGAGATAATATATTGAAATGAAAAATAATTGGAGTACATTATATATGTATTTTATTCAATCGTTTTGTACCATATATCGCAGGTTTTCATGGTGGTTCCCGGAGAGGAGGTGCAAATAGACATAATTATTCGACTAATAATAGTCTCAGTACTTCTTTCTTTGGGCCTTTTGGACTTAGCTTCCGTCTACCGTTCGATGATTTATTGGAAAATGCCGGTGCTCCTACAAATTTCACTTCCTTCGGTACTTTCACTAATTTCGACGGGATGAGTGGTGGTACTTCTATGAAACGTACCAGCACTTCGACTCGTTTCATTAACGGAAAAAAAATTACAACCAAGAAGTAAGTTATTTAACATTATATTTTTATTGCATAAAAATTATATACAATAAAAATACAATAATATTATATGATAACTATCTTCGTTTTTCTTTAATTTTGTTTCAGAGTTTTTGAGAATGGGAAAGAGACAATTATGTCCTATGAAGATGACGTACTCAAGTCAAAGACGGTGAACGGCATACCACAATCAATAACGTACAGTTAAATCACATCTTATTCGCTCGATCTCTCCTATGCAATTGAGAAAGTCCTGTTGTCATCATTTGAATATCTGTAGACGAACACCTGCTATCTTAGACACTATGTTAGCATTCCTGCTTTCTATCTTACTTTTCATTCGTCAACGCCATCGTTCCGTCAGATACGTTCTTAATGTGTTTTATTTCTTAAGACCGACCATTGATGACAGTGAGATAAGTTCTCTAAACCTGAGCGATCGAAGCATTTATTGAAATTTACATAAAATGAAAACAAACCGAACGCGTGCATACCTTTCGCAAGCTTCGATTTTCCGTTATTCTGTTTGTTTTATGTGTGTGTTAGGTTCGACGAAGCATCGACGAGTCGTCAAATCTGTGAGAACATCAACGATAACACGATGAGTAGCCATAGCTCGAACGCGGTGCACAGCGACTATTTAAAAGCTAGCAGAATAAAGACGCATCATCATCCGCATACGAGTAAGAAGCATGATAAAAGTAAGAGAAAATAATTTTTTTGCCAAGTTCCTTACATATTCAAGTTAAATATACACTCTTGATACATGGTAGACTTGATTAATGTAAATTTCCATTTTTATCATTATCTCTTTATCTACTATTCAATATTATCTATTATCCAATGGAAATGAAAAAAAAAGTATTGTTAAATTATATATAGACTTCCTAAAAATAAGGTAATATTTCTGATGAGTAACTAATAATCTGGCTTAACATATCGACATTATTCGAGCTCTTGTTAATAAAATATATTTTCAAAAGACATCTGTTAACTTTTGGTCTGTAAAAGTAACAAGGCAAAACCTTTTATCTGCTATCGTTGGACCGAGATTATTTAATTTTGTAAAAATAATCTCTGAGTTTATTTAAGTAGCGTATGTGACAGCACGATCGCTTACCTTGCGAATTGAATTCTACAACTTGCGGATAATCTTAGTTCATGTCCATCTAGCCACAGAATGTAACCAATATTTCTTGCTAATTTAAACCTCCATTAAACATAGGTTGTCATAATTGATGATTTATGATATTCAAATAATAAAAATGCCTTATCTCATATTGGTTAATAATAGTTAAAAATAATTTATTTTTCATCGCTGCGTATTATTGTCACTGGTTAGCGTTATTTACTGACTTAAGTTACAACTAAATGCTGTTAAAACTTTGTTAGATATAATGAATTCAATTGAATGTTTCCTTTGATTAGTTATTTACATATGTGTACATAATGATAAGAATGTTATAGAAATACATTATTAATATACATTAATGTCACAAACATAAAATTCCAATATAAAGCTATGCAAATAATAAAGGTCAAATTATGATTATTTATGTAAAGAAATAAATTACAGCAAAGAAGTATACAAAAAGCATTTTTATGTCCATTTTACTATAATAAAAAAATAACTATAAAATTTTTGAGTGAAACAAAATGAGAAACCTATTTGAATTATGTATGTCGTATAATTTTGATAAAGGTATTGCAGAATAGGAATTGGTGTTTTATTGTATCTATAAACAATATACAATCATTTATTCGTGTGTATTGCAATACTCCTAGTGCTTGCTATTAAAAATAAAAAAATTTTATGAAGTATAATTCTATATGTGTACACAAAGAAATAGTTGACAAGTTATTTCTTTCCAATTGATGCAATTAATGCTTCCACTTTAGCGATATATTGCTCTTTTGCTGTTTCTGATAACATATTTTTCTTATTATTCCAAGCATCCCATTTAGCTTTTCCTTTAAAATCCAACATGCCTGGTCTCTCTAAAAAAGAAAGTTAAAACATTGACTAAATTATTATACATGTGAGCACACTATAATAATTGGCTATAGTAATAATATAAAAAATATGCGGTAGGTATACCTGTATTACAATCACCAATGATAGATTGTTTGTACAATGCATATAATTCAAGTAAGTCCTCATCTGCTGGTTGTGCAGCTAGTTCTTTTACTGCTATAGCTGCTGTATTAAATCTCTGAGAAAAATATTTTTGCGATGATTTCATTATTCAACATAAATTATAATTTAATAAGAAAATATAATTGACAATAACCTATGTATATGTATCAATAATAGTTGTATAATTATAATATATAATTGTAAATTATAATAAAAATACTTAAAATTTTCTTTGCTGACATTTTATAAAGATAATGGACATTTTTGGTGCTAATTACTTATACAGCACACAAAGTTGAAAAAATATTGCAACAATGTTGCAATGCTGCTGCAACTTCTGTGCTGTATGGGTTAACCATTAGTTGTTAAATTGTTGGCCCGTAAAATTAATATTTGTAATATATAATATATTTGTAATATATAATACAAATAATTCTAACCTAATCTTATGCAACTCAATTAATTGTGTAATTGTATAAAAGGTTTAAGAAAGTTGACAAATGATATAAGTATCATCCTATATTTATTCATTATTCACTTGTAAAGAGCTTTACAAATGGACGGTTTTTACGAGATACGTATATGTATATACGTATACGTATATACGTATACGTATATGTATAATGTATGAAATTACATCTATTATAATAGATGTAAATTAATTTGGATCATTATTCTTACCTCGTCCAGAGACATAATAGGAAACCTTCGTTCAAAGTTGTCGATGCAAAATACAATGATGAAAGTATTTTATAAGGAATGACACATGCAACACAAACGCTGCGAAGAAAATAACAATATACGTAGTGTATACGTGCTTTTTTTAGTTCCACTGAATGTAATGATTAATTTTTAACGTGACCAATGTTGACTTTTAACACTAACAAAAACTACTCATACATAAATCAATACATTCGTTAATTTCTTGATTAACCCTTGTTTTTTATTTGATAATGACACTGTAGATAAAAACAAGCAGCTTACTTTAATTGCACTTGTATTTTCTCATGCCATGTACCATATAACCAATTAAAAGCGTTATTTGAAAATATGTGACACGAAACGCTACATGATTGGTAATGCAGTTACCGCGTATCATCCAATCTCTGTACGAGACGTCATCCTACATCCTCATCCTGCATCTTAAGCCACCAGCATACTAGAGTCCTACAGCCCGTATCAGAATATGGATTGAGATTGGATTGAAATTTGACCAATTGAAGAAAAGAAAAGAATCTGAAATATAGTAAAGTCCTAATTGGTTAAATTTCAATCCAATATTCAATCCCAACCCGTAGTGCGATACAGGCTTTAAGTCAGTATTCATAGGGTGCGTTCGGGGAGCACGCTATCACGCAACAAACGCTAACGCTGATAGATGCGTTCGGAGAGACTATAAGCAGCTTACGCTTTCGAGCTGCTCGAACGTTACTTGGGTGAATTTATCGTTACAATATGGCTGATGTTGGTGCAAATATGGATAACCAAAAAAGAAAAAAATTATTAAGTCTTTTACTCTTTAATTTAAAAGTAGGACGTCGGAAGAAACTGCCAAGACTACAAAATTATGTGGAAGAGGTGATACCTAGGTGGAAAGATCAAGAATTTTAGGTAATGATAAATTATCTTTAATTAATTTTCAAAGTTCTATACATATATCATAGAATGGTGAACATATTTCACATTATGTATTTATTTATGGTAGCTCAGTAAATATTGCAGCAAAGTAAATGCAATATGTATTTTATTACATTTACATTGTTACGTGAGAAATTATAACATAAATGTAATGTAATGTAATGTAATTTTTCAATAATGTCATTTGAAATTTCAACAAAAAGTGTTTAGTATAGTGATATTCGGTATTTATTGGAAAGAAATTAGCTAAATTTTTCTATTAGCATATTCGACTGGACTTGGGTTCACCCATGCTAGGTTAAATAAACCCAGCTTATTGATCGAACATGTACTATATAATATAATATAGTATACGTTCGACTAATAAGGCCCAGTTCCACAACTTGCTTTAAACGAAGTTTAAAGCTAAACCGATGGTTAAAAGCAATAGTATATGCGCATATACTTTATGGTTAAAATTGCTTTTAACCATCGGATTAGCTTTAAACTCCGTTTAAAGCAAGTTGTGAAACTGGGCCTAAGTTGAGTTTATGTAACCCAGCATGGGTTAACCCAGGTCCAGTCGAATACGCTGTATGTCTGTACTAATTTTAGTTCTACACACTTCTTATCTAGAATATCCAGAGACACTTTTGAGTTTGTACTCTTGATAATTGCCCCAAAACTTAAGAGAAAGTATCCAGGGTTAGGAATGATCTCCCCAGAGAAACAGTTTTTTATTGCTATTTGGCGAATGACTACACCAGATTCTTACAGGTTAGTACATTATATCTAATAATAAGACCTACTCAAGGTAATGTTGCATTTTTCATTCATAATTTTTTTAATCCTAGATCAATATGTGAAAAGTTTGATGTGAGTCGATCAACAGCTTTATTAGCAACACGTCGAGTTACCAAGATACTTGCAGATTTAGCACCAGTATTAATTAAATGGCCAACAGGCAACGCTATCCAAGAAGTTTGGACAGGATTTGAAGTAATTAGTTCCTTCCCTAAAGTCATAGGAGCTATCAATGATACTCACATCAATATCCCATCTCCACATATACATCCAGAAGCCTATGTTAATCGGAAAGGTCACCATTCCATTCAGCTACAAGTTTGTAATATGTACTTAGTATATTAGATGGAAGAATTTATCCTCCTCACTATATTGTATATATTGAATATATCGTACTTAATATTCTTCCAGGGGATCTGTGATCACAAAGCTCGTTTCACGCACGGCTATATTGGACATGCAGGTTCTGTGCATGATCAACACGTTTTTCGTCAGTCAGAAATTCAAGATGCATTGGGTAACCCAGAAAAATTTCCTGATGATTCCCATTTACTTGATGCTGCATATAAAATTCATGATAATTTAATGGTTCCATATCGTGATAATGGTCATTTGACTGAACGACAAAAAAATTATAATTTCTGCCATTCTTCAACACGAATCGCCATTGAAAGAGCATTTGGTACCTTGAAAGGTCGATTTAGAAGTTTATTACACAACCTATCCATGAATCGGACTGACTTAATTGCTCATTATATACTTGCTTGTTGTGTCATGCATAATATTTGTATACTAAGAAATGATGATTTTGACATTGTTTTATTAAATAATGAAGTAGATAATGATATTCCTCGTCAAGTTGCTGCAGATGATACAACAGGTGTTCTGAAAAGAGAATTAGCCATAGACTTCCAATAAGACTTATATAAATCTTAAAACAGTTCTAATTTTGCTAGGAATGCAATGTATTTTTTATTTTAAAGAAGTTTACAAGTTATTATCTTTTATACTTTTGTAACATAGATATAAACTAATATGTACATGTTTAATAAAATTAAGATAGTATAACATATAAAAGAATTCTTTATTTATTTTTATAATAGTATTATATTTAAAAATTGCCATTTCCGTGTTACTTCTAAAATAATAAGTACATTCTCTTCATTATTAATTCATTTAGGACAAAAAGTAAAAGAATAAAATGAAAGATACATTTTGTTATTGATATTAGTTTTATAATAGTTTATAATTAATTTTTAACACATACAATTACTCCCCTCGACAGAATAAACATAAAATACTTTGTATTGTCTTGAGGTACAATAAAAATAAAAGCAAATTATATATATGTAATATTGTTGGTTACACATAGACACTAATATCACCAACCCTGCTTAACTTAATCGGTCGACCAAGCATTAATATTAATTAATCATTCCCTTCGACAAAATAAAAATGAAATACTTTGTATTGTCTTGAGGTACAATAAAAATAAAAACAAGTTACATATATGTAACACTGTATAAGTAATACTAAGTATTTAATACTTAGTTATACATAAAGAACTAATATCACTAACTCTGGTTAACTTTTTCGATCGACCAAGCAGCAAAATTAATGAACCAATTTATTTTTCTGATCAATATGATTGATTAATTTTGTTATAATAGACTAATTAAGTTAACTGAATGTAGTAATTCTGTTCCACATAACTTTCATCAGAAATATTTACCAAACATTTTAATTGTTCCAACATAGAAAGAAAAATCTTATTTTATATATCAGTGTTCTTAACATTAAGTATCACTTATGCATTTAACCATTATTCAATTTATCACAGATATACACAGGAAGTTATTAATCTCTTGCTATTATAACTGTTATTTGTACGATTTTCACAACTTTATGCGTTGCGTCTATGACCATGTTTACGTAACAACTTTATCTAACTAATTAACTATATTATAAAAATATGTATGTATAGGCATAAAGTTGAAAATCGTCAAAATAATTCAAATTACAATGGGAAGACATTAGTGAATACTTATGTGTATAAACTTAATATTAATTATTAATATTAAAAAATAAAGCAAATTTTAAGAATATGTTTAAAATATTAAGGAAGACAGAACGCAGTATAATAGATGTACCAGCTACTATACTATATTTTACAAAACTAAATAAAATATTAATTGTACTAAAAGAAGTAAACAAGAAAATAAATGGTACATGTTTTATCAAAAACAAAGGAAACAATCTTATAATTTGTACTACAACTTCGTTTTATCTTTGTTGCATGTAAATTAAAATAAAAACATTTATAATTTGTCTAAAATTTTACCCATGAATTCTAGCATTTGCTGTTCAAAGTCCATGTTTTCTTTGTGCCTCTGATCACTGTTGTTCTTAGCCAATTTCCGACTTTGTAAAATTGATTCAGCAATGTTTGATGTACTTTCTTGTGCCTTGCGCTTCCAACAATTTGAATAGCTTAAATTTTTATTACTTGAGTTTGCATTGTTACATATATTTGCACTTGATAAGTTAGATTCTCTATTAGATCTAGAATTAGAACACATACTGCTTGAAGAGGCTATTGCTGGAGACGACATAATAGGTCGTTCACCAAGCAAAGATTCCATGACTTCCATATAAGGCCATGTTCTAAGATTATTCCCTGATTTGCTATTGTGATCTTTTATAGATTTATAAGTTCGTTTCATTCCGTGAAATTTTGAAAGACATTGAGGTCCAGTGACATTATAGCCTTTAACAGATAATGCTGATGCAATATTATTCCATACTTTTTTCTGGGGCATTTTACCCGATACAATGTTATTTTTTTGCAGCCAATACTTTTCTACCAGCAATAGAATTGCCACATAAGACCATTTAAACATTGATTCATTATTATCCTCAGAATTGGAAGACTCCATTGACAGACTTGCTGCATCAAAATCTGAATCTTGTGATTTTGCTCTTTCTAGAAGATAAGTAGCAAATATCATATCTAAAAGAATAACGAATAATATCTATATATTAAAGGAGACATAAATCAATCACACTCTTTTATTATAATCTAATTTATTAATTTCCATTATATCAACTGATCTATCTTCTATACTTGGATAATTATTAGTATATAGAATACTTATATAACCTCTGTCATCATAATTACCATTTTCTGCACGCGCTGCATCATTTGGCGATACTTTTATTGTGTATGTCACATCGTTTTCATCTAAAAGATGAATTTCGACATTTTCAGATATTTAACTAAGTGGTTGAGCCATTGTGAATACAGTTTCTCACAGTTTAATAAATTGTCTTTATTTGACTTTTGACGCAATTGGTTTGTTCTTTCTGGTTGCACTGTTGTAATTGGTTGAAAGAACAGCAGTTAAAAAGAACAGATCATAGACTAACACTTTAAAGCACAATCGAACGTTCGAGGAAAGAATAAGCGCCAATTAGCGCTAATAGCATTTGCTGCCCTCGAAAATGATAGCGAAAAATTGCGCGAATAATGACGTCACGCTGCTTTGAGAGTGATGTCATTATCGATTTTATAGCGCCACAAAGCGTCTCCTCGAACGGTCTTAGATACTTATTGTGCGAATAGCGTGCTCCCCGAACGCACCCATAGTCGGATTTTATATTTAAGACTGTCTTAAGTTTATCTTCAGATGCTACAAATCATTTCATTGGCTACGGGGTATCTGAAAGTGAACTTAAGACGGTCTTAAATATAAGACCTGACTATACTATAAGCAGAGAGAAGTCTGAGAGCGGGCATAGCTGCATTTACAGCGTTATGGAAAAGTTGGCTGATTCGAAGCGCCAACTGGGTCCATTTTTCATGGACATGAACTACTAAGCCAATGTCCACAATTTGTTGGTACTATTCCGTGCTATGTCCATAATTATTTGGTTCTGTTCTGTGCTATGTTCATGAGCGAGCTAGATTAGTTAGATAAAAACGAAGAATCGATCTTTGTCTCACCACCAGCGAATAGACAATCGCGACGAAGCGAACCAGCAGCGATGTTATCGTAAGGCAGACGTCGCCGTCCCCCCTTTCACCCCCTTGTTTTCCTTTCCACATTGTTTTATATTGTTGTGTCCGAGCCACAACGTTTGTGGCGACGTCCGTTGTCCGCGAGCCTTAGGCATCTGATGTTGATTTTGACATCTGAGCGAGGATTGTCCTGACAACGGAAAATCGAGAAGAAGTAAACAACAAGATCAGCTGAGAGAGTCTCTGGCAAACTGTCATCGAAGACAGACGCGAGAATTCAGAATTATTAAAATAGAGAATTATTAAAATAGAATTATTCTTGTTTAAAGCGTGAGCGAGTTGTGCTGTAAATATTGGGTGTTTTCCAACAACGGAACACAGTCATACACTGTGTGACACAGTGTTACACAGTGTCGACTTGTAGCTGGAACGCTGCTTAGCTTTTTTCTTTCACCGTCAGAGTGCAGTTACTTTATATATCTTGTTACTAGTTTGCAATGCAAACAGACATATGTCAATAATTTAAAATAATAATCTAAATCGTTACAAGATACTTTCTTATAAGTTATATAAAGGTTAGTGTTTTTTAACAAAATTTTCTTATAAATTAGCTTATTTATCAAATATATAGAAGAGAATGATTAAAAAAATCTTATTAAATTATGTACATTAAATTGTTATGGAAAAGTAATCAATTAAATAAATATATTTTTTATAATACTATTTTTAATATTAATTAAATATAGCATGTTTTATTTTATCTTTTCACTTTATTTAATTTTATATTATTAAAAAAATTAATAGTTTTATTAATTAATTAAGTAATTTTAATATAGATGAATGGGAAGGAAAAGATAGTTGTTAATCTTGTACTGGAGAGTATGATAAACACCAGTACAAGCACAGAAGACTCAAGCAACAGTGAAATAGACTGGAACAATAGTAGTCTTTCAATTGATGATATATCTTTCAGTAGTGAAGAAAACGATGGTTATTTATTGTTGTTTCCTTTAATGAAATATTTAATCAGTGGGTGTAAAAGACATCGAGTTGAAGATTATCTTCATGTTGTGGATAGTTGGACAGATTTAGAATTTAAAGAGCACTTGCGAATCAAGCGTAATTTAGCAATTCGATTAATAGGTAATATTCATTTTAAATACCAAATAATTTATATTTTTAAACATGATTTTATAATATTTAAAACGTATAATTCTTTATATATTCTAGATGAATTGCATGAAAGTGGATTTATTCTTTCTCATTCGTTTGGAGTGAGACCAATTGAAGCGAAACTCAGCTTTCTTATATTTTTGTGGCACTTGGCAAATACAGAACCTCTACGAACAATATCAGATAGATTTGACGTTTCAATTTCATCTGTCTTTCGAGTAATTCGCCGAGTGACAGCTTGGATATTGATAAAATTAGACGACGTTATTAAATGGCCCGATGGACAACACGTCGCATATGTTTGTCATCAGTTTTATGCTAAAAGAGGCATTCCAAATATAATGGGAGCAGGGACTGCACTCAAATTAAAATAGAGAAACCTAATGTGGAGAATGCAAGAGATTATTGTAACCGGAAAAAATACTTTTCTGTAAGCCTACAAGCTGTTGTAGGTGCGGATATGAAATTCACTAACATATATTGTGGTCAGCCAGGTTCTCTCCATGATGCACGAGTCTTGAGAAAATCTGCATTATACAATTCAGTTAATGAACATAGGGAAGTAATTTTTTTAGATGAAAAATTTATAATAAGAGACTCTGCATATCCGTCTTTACAATGGCTTGTTCCTCCTTTTCGTGATAACGGTCATCTTACTCCTCTTCAGACCGAATTTAATTTCATACTTTCTTCAACGCGTATGGCTGTAGAAAAAGCATTTGGTTATTTGAAAGGACGTTTTCGACGAATAAAATTTTTTTCGGAATATCGTGAAATGCCGTTTATTACAAATACAATTGTAGCTGCATGTATCTTACATAATTTATGTTTGAATTATGACGATGATAATGTCGATTATGATGATGTCAAAATGGAGGAACTGAATGATAATATTTATGATAATGTAAATGAAAATATTAATTTTGGACATCAAGTAGATCGACGGATGCAATTATTGAGGGAAATATTTGACCAGGAATAAACAATGTACACTGATTATTATATTGTAAATAAAAATATTTAGTCATCCAATATAAATATTTTATTATCCAATAGCAAGAACATATTTCTTAGAAATTAATATAACATACATAATAGTGAACTGTGACGTGGCAGCCGGAAAGGCGCCCGTCACAGGCCGACCTTTCGGCCCTTAGGCGAGACTCTCGGGGGGGGGGTGTCGCCTTGCGCTCTCCCCCGTAATAATTAGCGTTGGTAGTCGGAGCGCGCAGGTGGAACGGTCCCGCGTCCCCGAGCTCTGTGCCCCTGGACCTCCTGCGCCGCACACCAGGAGAGGAGGGATCGGTGGAGGAAGGAAGAGGATGACCCCCCCTCGGCAAGACCGCCACCCCAGGTGAATGCACTCCTTTTATAATGCTAGTATCGGTTTCGTATCGTCGTGAAAGGTTCTCGCTGTCGCTTCCGTTGTCCACAGGCCTGCAAGGATATCGCGCCGAACGGTCGGCGTTCCCGTGCTTGGCGCGTGAACGCCGGCTAAACAAAGCCAGCCTGAACACTGAGATCGGGCGAGTGTGAGCAAGAGAGAGAGAGAGTGAGCAAGAGAGTGAGACCGAGCACCCGTCCCGCGGATCGAAAAACAAAGATCCGCGGAAGGATTCCCGTATAGGGAGATTTTACCGAGGAACGGGGAGAGGCGGGTAGCACGAGACAACACCGACGGACAAGGAAGTCTGTCCGGGGAGAAGGAGATAAAAAGAAGAGACTCCAGTTGTCGCTCTCGAATATCGCAGATCTGCCTCGATATAGTACCGGATAGAAAAATCAGTTACCGAACAAGGGGAGATACAAGCGAGGGGTTTAGTGGGTGGAGTTGTTGGCGTCAGCAAGCGGAGGAGACGTCGGTGGCAGCGTGTGCCAGAGCGAGCGAGAGAGGGAGACGAGAGGAGGACCACGTCGCCGGGAGGTTCCCGATTGTGTAAGACCTTCCACCTGCATTATCGTTTCGGTGTCGTGAGAATAGAAAGTCTCGTTAAAGTTACCGGCGTAGCGGGCAATCTCGAATTCGCGAGAGCCCAAGCGGAGTGTATCGTACCGAGGGGGTCGGACCGTTCCGATTCCCGAAAGAATAAAGCTAACGATAGTCGAAACGCGCCTCGTTATTTTTGTGTTTTCCCGGTCGTTCCCGACTTCCGACGAACCCTTCCCGTCTACCGACTTAAATACCGCAGGGCTACCGGTCCCGTCGACTTCGCGTGTCTCGGCCCTTTGGTGAGGTGTCGCGTAGCATTGGTGAACGGTGCAGCCCGCTGCACCTGGCGCCCAACCAATTTTGGTGAGAGCTAGGTTGGCCGAGACGCGCGGACCGACGGCAGTTTGCCGACGGCGAGCGATAATCGCGTCGCAAATTTTTGGCGCCCAACGTGGGGCCCGATTTCGGCGAGATAATTTCCGCTATTTGGTCGAGACAAAGGAGGATAATTTAAATTAACCGAAAGTCGCGAAAACGACGACGCGTCTCGGCTCGTTTTTCTTTGCTCGACTCATGTTTACGGTTTTTCGGGTTCCCGGTTGCCGACGCTAAGCACGACTTTCCGTGTTTTCGTTTTTTTTTCGGTGGGATTTCGGCACGTGCGAGATCGTTTGTCGCGGTGCAAGAATTATCGATTATTTTCGCTCAGAGTTTCTTGGCTATATATTTTTTTTTTTCCCGTGATCACGCTCTGCTCGGGATATCGAGGCTGCTCTTGTTGTGGTGGTGTCCCGGTGTTTGTCTTGGTGGCTACCAAATTGTCGGGGTGATTGTTGGTGTTGGGGGACCATTTTTTTTTCTTTCTCGTGTACCGTTCTTCGTGTGCCGTAACGGCTAATAGCGCCGTTGAAGAGGCTCCCGTCAGGCTGGTCGCTTCCACACCAAAGTTTAGGCTGCGGGTTGCTCGTAACGCTTAGGATTCCCGTTCCGTTTCGTGCGCGACGAGGAGTATCGAGGAATCATGCCGGACGACTCCGACCGCGAAGCGTGGATCTACGCGCTGCCCTTGGAGCAGCTGCGAGATCAAGCGACGGCGCGCGGGATAAACGCAGCGGGCAACGCGGCGACCCTCCGTGCTCGCTTGCTGCGCTACGAGCGAGCGGAGCGGCCAGACCCTCCCCCGCCGTCCCCGGCGGAGGACGCGATGCGCCCGCCCCTGACGCGCGAAGACATCGGGGGGAAAACGGAGGAACCCGAGTTCGTCGATAGAACGGTCCTCGAGCCGGGGAAGGTCAGCCCCGATACCCTACAAGTGCCGACGGTGAGAATATCGTCACCGTACCGCGCGGTACCGCCACCGCCGTTATCGCTACCGCCAGAGGAGATACCTCCTCTTTTCGTACCGCAAGTTCCGAGATCGCCGACCCGAGGGCCGGGGATGCGCTCGAATCACCCCGCGATGTCGACCAGCGACGCATACAACGTGATGCGTCGCTGGAATATAAGTTTTTCCGGAGCGGCGGGAGGTGACATAGAGGCGTTCCTCCTGCGAATATCGGAGGGGAGGGACATTGTGCCGATTGCCGACACCGATATGCTCAAGTGTATGCCGTTCTTCCTCACCGGCATCGCACTGGAGTGGTACCGTGTGGGCAAATCTCGTTGGTTCTCGTGGCGTGAGTTCGAGGTCGCGATGCGCTCACGGTTCGGCGACCCCGACTTCCAATTCGCGTTGCGCGATCAGATTTTGCGGCGCACTCAGGGGGAACAGGAACCGGTCGCGGATTATTTGACGTGCATGCGCGGGCTGTTCGGGCGGCTCGACCCACCGTGGGGTGAGGTCGAGCTGTTAAATTACGCGCATAGAAATATGCTCCCGCGCCTACAAATCTCGGTGCACCGAGATGATGTCGTGTCGATAGACGCGTTAGAGAGGCTCGCGACGCGCGTCGAGCGTAGTTACGCTGCCGCGAGTCAGTATCGTGCCCCTCCGCCTCCCGAGAGATCCGCGTGTCCGGATCTCGCCTACCGGCCGCCACCGCGCTCGTCTCGGCCGTCTCCCGCGATGACGGCCGAGCATTTATCGAATTATCGAGCCGCGGAGCGAGAGGAAATTCGGGAGAGGGAGCGTCCGCGCGCCGCGGAGGTGACGCGTCAACCGGCGGGGGCGACCCCGCCGGCTCCGGTGAGAGAGGATCGCTGGGCGACCCCTCGAGCCGGGGGCGCGGGGACGGGGGCGAGGAGAAGTACTCGGCCGGAAACGGCCGGGGAACCTACCCCCGGACCGGCAGCAAGGAGCGGTTCCGACAAATGTTGGAACTGCGACTCGGCCGGTCATTTGGCGCGCGAATGTCGCGCGCCCCCGCGAGTCCACTGCTATCGCTGCGGAAGGGGGCAGCATACAGTGAGGACGTGTCCCTCGTGCGCGGGAAACGGGGCAGGGAGACGCTAGAGAGGGTCCCTGCGTCTCCTCCCGCTTCCGAGACCCGCGAGAAAAAGCAGGGGGTGGCGAGCTCTTATGGTGCGTTCGAAGGGCGTGAGAGAGCGTCCCTGCAATTCATGGAAATATTAATTGGTGAGTTTCCCCTGCTCGGGTTGGTCGATACCGGTTCGGATCGAACCCTTTTTGGTGTAGAGGGTATCGATGCAATCCGCGGGCGGGGGCTATCGTTCCCGAATACCGTATCTTCCCGGATCCGTCTGGCGGACGGGACGCTGACCACGCTGGACGGGTCAGCGGACGTTATTCTCGAATTGCAGGGACGCCAAGAAACGCTCACGATCGGGTTTTTACCGAATCTCGCAGTACCGGCCATCCTGGGGATGGATTTTCTGGCGAGATTTCGTTTAGTTCTCGATTTCGCCCGGGGCGAATGGAGCTTCGCGGATGACGCACTGAGCCGCTATCCTTTCTGCAACGAGCGCGGACAACAGAGCTTTTGTTGCGGGGTCTCGGAATTGTCGCGAGAGCAAGAAGTAAAGCTCACGAAGTTTATCGATTCTACCGTACCGATCGCTGCCGAAAATCCCGGCGTCACGTCGCTGACGGAACATCGAATCGACGTTGGGACGCATTTACCGATTCGGCAGCGATGTTACTTAGTGTCGCCTAAAGTGCAAGAGGCGATCCGTGGGGAAGTAGACGTTATGCTCAAGGCCGGAATTATCGAGCCCTCCGGTAGTGAGTGGTCAAATCCGGTAGTTATGGTGAAGAAACCGAGTGGCAAATATCGCTTCTGTATCGACTTTCGGAAAGTAAATAACGTCTCGAAGAAGGACGCATATCCGTTGCCAAACATGACGGGAATTCTCGACAAGTTACGGTCCGCGCGATACATCTCGACGATAGACCTGAGCCAGGCCTACTTTCAGATACCGCTGGCAACAGAAAGTCGAGAGATTACCGCTTTTTCCGTACCGGGCAAAGGCCACTATCACTTTACGCGAATGCCGTACGGATTATCGGGGGCTCCGGCCACGTTTCAACGGCTTCTCGATAAATTAATCGGGCCAGAAATGGAGCCCCATGCATTCGCGTATTTGGATGATATTGTCGTAGTTACCGAAACATTCGAAGAGCATCTCGAATGGTTATCGCGCGTTCTTGAAAAGATCAGCTCGGCCGGACTTACCGTGAATTTAGAAAAATGCGAATTTTGCCGCTCGGAAGTGAGATATCTCGGGTTTTTAGTGCACCGGGACGGTTTAAAGGTCGACGACGAGAAAGTCAAGCCGCTTCTCGAATACCCGACGCCGACCAATTTAAAGCAACTGCGCCGCTTTTTAGGGATGGCGTCGTGGTATCGTCGCTTCTTACCGAAATTCGCGTCTATTAGCGAACCGCTCACGCGACTGCTCAGGAAGGGCAGGCGATGGGAGTGGACTACCGAGCAAACTACCGCTTTTGAGAGGATACGATCTGATTTGACCACTGCTTCGATTCTTTCGTGCCCAAATTTCGAAGTACCATTTATCGTACAGACCGATGCGAGTTCGGTGGGCGTGGGGGCCGTGTTGACGCAGACGATCGACGGGGTCGAGCGC